AAGAGATGTGGCTCGGGCCTGCAGTTCTTACTCTGTATTTCAGTTCCGTCACCGTAAGTCAGGACACGGCCACTGTTTCTGCGCGTGTCCGGCTGGCAGCCACAGCCTCGCTTGGGGAGGGCAGATGCAATGTAATCGTTAAAGAAGACTTGAATTTGTCTGGGGGGACTTGAGCAACATGTGTAAAGCTCAAGGGAAAAAGAAGAGGTTCAGGTAAAAGGAAGAGTTTATCTAACCTTATTTCTTGGCTTATTTTTTCCTCCAGAAAGCACCTCAGCTCTGGCAACGGCAGAGGTTTTAAAGCACCATAAGCCCTCTCTTAGCTGAGACCCTGACTTCTGACAGCAAAAGCAAACGTGTGTTTCCTCCGATAGCAACACTGAATTTCAGTGAACTCCTTTTAAATGTAAATCTTTAAAGGTGCTCAATCAAGCTTCGATACCATCCTCTCTTCCCGGTGCCCCAGGTACCCTACTGAAGAAGTTAGCTGCTATAGCCTTATATGAAAAAAATAATAATTTGAATCATTTCTTGCTTGAAAATTCTGCAAAAATGTTATTTCACATGGCCGTGCTTGGTAACCATTTCCTTGATTTTTAAGGAATCGTAAGGAAGGGGAAAGTGTCTCTTGCACAAGGAAGGGGAACGTGCCTTCCACTTTGACGGCAAATGCGCTCCAGACTATGAAGTATCTTGGTGAGGCAAATAAAATTGAAGGAAACCTCCCAGCGTCGTTTCTTTACCAGATGAAACAGATGCTGCCTGGGGAGACATCTCCTAAAACAAACCTTGTCCAGATTTGTGCTTTTGGGATGGCTGCATCTATCTCTACACAGTCTCCTGGATTTTATGCCACCGAAAACGAGTTCCAAGTTTCTATCTCAAAAGCTCTGCTGCTTTTAAAATTTCAAGTGTGTCTCCCACTGGTTCCTTTAATGAGCCATCTGAGTTATTTTATGCAAATTTAGTGTCTGACACAGTTATCTTTTTTTTTCCCACTCTGATTCCCAGCACTGAGCTGTGAGTAATGCCTCCCCAAGTGCTTACAAACAGGGCTTTTCTATGGGCAAGAGAGTCTGGCCAGATGGCAAACTTCACTTTTTCCTCTACATCTTTAGATTAATCACACATTTGGCCAAAAAAACCCAACTAAACCAAAAAAAAAGGGAAGCCAGGCCACTGCCTTCATTTCCCAAACAGCACCTAGGGTGAGAGGAGCCAGGGTCCCTGCCCTGGGCTGTCCCAGGTCCCACGTATTTTTGGCTCCCCAAAATTAGGCGATTTAGGGTCTCACATTGATCCACACATTTAATTTTAAGCATCCCGTTTGGAAACGTTGGATGCTGCCGTTGACAACAGAGCTAGCAAAAATCTATTTAGCTCTTTTTCCCCCCACATAATTTGCACGTTTACGTCCCAGAACATCCATCAGAAGAGAGATGTACAAACCCTACGCAATCCTGTGGCACGGCCCATTTTTGTTGTTCTCCTCAAAACGCGAGGCTGCAGCCCTGCAGCTGAGCAGAACCTGTTTGGACATCAAAGGGAGCTCCTGGGGAAAAAAGCGGAGCTACACCACCAAAGGCAGAGCCGATCCACCGTTTGTGTAATACAGTCAGAAATAAGTGAAGAAAGGAGAGTCCAAACCAGAAACGGTTTCTGAAAGATGTTCAGCATCTTCCAGGGCCTGCTGATCTCTGGGGAGCTTTGTCCTCAGTGTTACTGAGCCTGCTTCTTAAAGCCTTATGGACAGGCGTCCTCTGCTGGGACAGAGCTTTTCCCAACAACTCGTTGCATCAGTGCTCAGCAAACATGGCACCGTAACTGCATAGGTTCTAACATCGAAGGGCAGGTGAGCTCCAGACCCCTCCTGCTTGAGGACACGACACCAAGCACCTCCACGGTCCCTCTCCACCAGGATGCACACACACACGCACGTCAACGCGCTGGCGGGAGGGCAGCGAAGGTGACAACCTGTGACCTGGACTTGCCTCTGCAGGACACTGCATTTCATCGTTCCACTCTTCTCCTTACTAATTATTGCAAATACTCATCCAGGCTTTCTCACCTGCCCAGAGAGGCTGTGGTGTCTCCATCCCTGGAGATATTCAAAAGCTGACTGGAGGTGGCCCTGGGTGAGCTGCTGTAGGTGACCCAGTGGGACCAGAAGGTCTCCAGAGACCCCACTGAAATCCTCCCCACCCAACGGCCAGCCCTGACTACATGCCACGACTCCAGAGCAGTGATCTGAGCTGCCCCTCCGTAGGGACTGACTTCCTTCAGCCAGCTCTGAAGGTAGATTGAAGTGAGCAGCAATCCATGCTGCACTCAAACCTCACCTCTACCTCCTTCCAAATTCCCCGTGTGAGCCTGCAGCCATTGCAAGCACCATACTTCAACTAAAACCATGTTCCGTTACCCTCTCCTGGGCTCTAGCCCTGCTCCTTGCTCTACAACGCTACGGAGTTCCATTGTGGCTCTCTGCCGGCACAGCAGAACAGCTGCTTGGGAAGCCTGGCTGCAGATGGTGCCAAAAGGAAGAGAGGGGTAAAAAAAAAAGTGCCATTCATACCCTCGCCTCAAAAGGGGAACAAGCAATGAGATCGACGCCTGTCCTGCTGCCGGCTGCGAGCCCAGGCTGGGCAAGTTTTCTAAGTACTGCCTATGGTTTAAGAGAATGATGGCTATTAGGTTTCCGGCAAAATGAAAAGACAGACTAACAAATAATCTGTGGGTCATTAAAATACAGGTTTATGATCCTTTTTAGAAGACGACGCTACCTTAATTCAACGCAGGTCGTCATGCTATGGCTGCTTGGTGCCATCCGGTTTTTTTCCTCTTAAATTTTAAACCACCCTTCTAAAATTGTAATAACGTTCACTGCATTAGATTAGCAGCAATTTCTTTGATACACAAACTATCCTTCCTCCTCCTCCTCCCCATACAGCTGCATGACTTTGACATTTCTTTTTTTTTTTTACAAGCAGTCATGTGAAAGCTTTACTTTCAGGAGAGCACACCGCGTTTGTGGCTTATTTTGATTTGTGGGTGCAATCCCCAGGCTCGGCGTGCACGCGTGGAAACCGCACAGACATTCATATACGGGCGCACACAGATCCCTGCCACGAAACCCAGACGTATGGCTGCAGCTTGATTTTCGCTTTCATTTGGTTTTCATTTTGCTGTGAGGACCACAGCAAAAGGTTCCCTTCGTGCCTCCTGCCCAGCGGTGGCTCAAGCTCATTAATTGCACATAATTAAAGAGCAATCACAGTGATTTACCAACTGCAGGCGGACATAAATACTCCACAAACAAGTATTCCATGACGGGGCGATTGCTAACTCTGCTGTAGACACTGAGTAAATTGGATTTGTTGGGCTATTACCTCCTTGCAGGATGTTGCAGAAAGAGCTCTGAGCAGCAGCAGCATCTCCATACTTCAGAGTTTTACTTTTAAATGAAACAAAATCCTATCGGGTTCTTTTAACTTTAAGCCTTAAGATAACAGTGATCTAAAACAAAGAGTCCAGACGATTTACCCTAAAAAAATCAAAGACGAGGAGAGCTGTCGACACACGCAAGAAGTGATGTGACGTGTCTGACTCCCTTTTCAATACCACTGCCCAAAAACCTATCAATGTCTTAATATTCCCACAACAGCAGTGGTTGCAAGAATAGCTTACTTCCAAAACATTTAATTTTGCAGCTGCCTAAATATATCAGCTTTAACTTTCTAGTAGACAGGAATTTCCACTTGGCCTAAAAAACTTTTTTAAAGGGTCTGACACTGCTTATTTTAAGTTCCCAGCCTGAGTGTTTAACATAAATCCAACTCTTAAAAAAAAGATCTAGAAAGGAAAAGCACGCACTTGTGAAAGGCAGAGCTGGACTTATTTTTCTTTTTTTTTAATGTATGGCCACACAACTCTTATTTTTAAGCAAAGCTGGAACAAAACAAAGGCTTGAACAGTTCCTACCACCAGCTCCACTGGTGCCTTCGCTGCCTCAATCACAGAGACCTCTACAAAAGATAAGAGTTCGCAAGAATCTTTCTTTTAATACTGCTTGTCTTTGCCAACAGTAGTTTTCCAAGTACTTTGTAGAAGGAGAAAAAAAAAATCACTGCTTCCTAATCTCTTCAGGCTATACGTTTCAGCCTTTTTTCCCCCTCTGTATCTAAAACTGAGGAAGTATAAAACCTGAACCCCCTCTTTATCCACGGACGTAGCAAGCTAAACCTCTCGTTACCAGGAGGAACTGTGATTTCGGTCCGTTTAGCTCATTTGACACCTTCTCAACTCCAAAGAAAGGGCGCGAGTCGTGCTCCCTCAAGCTTCCAGCACCCACCCGCCTCGCCAGTTTGAATACCTTTATCAAGCGAAGCTCCGGCCATGTGGTAGAAGCTCAAAGCTGTGTCCACGTCATTTATGTTCTTCAGGAAAGTGAAGAAGCTCTCCACCTCCTCAAAGGTCAGCCCCTACGACAGAGAGAAGATGCTCTTACGGTGATGGGAAAAGGCACATTGTGACATTACTTGGATTACAAACGACAAAATCACTCATTGGCCCAAAGCTGTAGCCAGAGGGGAATTCATCTGTACACTCAAAATACTCCTAACCTGGACATTTGAGGATACATTTTGAGTTTTGTACCTCTGTTAGCCACTGCTCCTTCTCTCTTGGCCCCAAGCAGGTTCTAACCAGGGAAGAAGCCACCTATCTTTTTTTTTTCTTTTGAAAGGAAACGCGCATTTTTTCACAATCGTCTTATACTGACGTGCTGCCTCTAGACTTGTAAGCAGAAGAATCGCAGGAAATTTGCAGCTTGTTCCCATCTTCGCCGTAGCGGAGTGCGTGGCAAGGCACAGCACACGCACCGTCAAAGGCAACGGCAGGCTCTGTCAGCCCTGCGGCTGTGAATCCGAACCGAGAAGGATGAGAGAGCAAAATGCACACAGGGACAACGGATCTAAAAAAAACCCCAAGTTACTGCACAGGGAGCTTTCTTTAAATGTATACCTGCTCTTGTTCCCAAATGGGATGCTGAAAGATTTATGGTAAAAGTAAATAAAATACTGCCCTAGAAAAAAAAAATAAATCAAAAAAATCACATAAATCAGGTAGTTCTGCAGGAAGTCGACATTCTTCTGTTTTGTACAACAGATCTACAAGAGAAAATAGCTTGGCAATTCAGATGCCCATCTGGATGCCTCCCTGCTATATGCTTCCTGACTGACATGTCCCTGTCTTGGAGCAGAGCTCTAAAAATATGGAAAGCCTGCAGGAACTAGGAGGTGTGTGGCTGCTTTCAGGCCAGCACAAGACACTGTGCTGTGGTTTACCTGCTCCGTTTAGGACACCTGAGGTTTGCAGTCGTGGCTGCAAGGCATTCCAGCAGCTGTTCTAAGAGAAGAGCCCTAAACTTTCCATTTGCCTGGAATTTTCCACCATGAAATGGCGGATGTCAAGGCCAAACAGCATCGCTGTCCGTGCAAAACGGCCCCTCATTCAGCGTCAGTGCTGCAGCTGCTATTATTTCAGTGAGTTTACATGCTTACGTCCATAAACTTGCGGTCCTTTCACCAGCTGAAAAAGCAAAACCAATGACATATGGGGGTGTCCTACAGATCTGGGCTTTCACGTGGACAGAGATACTGAATCCCTGTAGCAAAAATGCCATCAGTATTACAAAACACAGTATTTCATCAATGAATATTACAGCTGAGGCTGGCATCAGCTTTAGCTTCTGTCCACCTACCAAAATAAAAATAAAATTGAGAGACGGGGACAGCCTCAGGCTTGCCCTGACAAGATGACAGATGAACGATTGCCTTCATCAGTCGGAGGTCTGAGTATGTGAATTCACCTCTTCCCCGCTGAAGTGTTTGCCAGCGCTGCTCGGCTCTTTGTAGGTTAATCATGTCTCCGCTGAACGACGCAGAGACCTTCCCGTTACGTAATCAAGGCTCGTGTTAATTTGGAATCAAGAAGCTGCGTAATACCAGGAGAGCACGAGGGCAGTGATTACGGGATCTGGATGATCCCTTCTTCCAAGGCTTTTGTAGATCTAGTTGCTGATTCATAAGCTCGAATCCTTTCGTCATTTAAGTAGTAAGCGATACACGAGCAGGCAGCTGCCAGAAGAGCGTATCTGCTGGCAACATGCATGTCACGACAGCTCAAGCACCTTCTGCAAAACATCCGGCTTTTCACCTGGGAATCGAGGTTTCAGCCGGGGAGGATTACTTCTCACTCGCACCCTCTGCCACCGCCACAGAAAAACCTGCTACAGAGCCCCCAAAGCACGTGTAGATGACCTGAATCACTGGTTTGTGAAGAGTCACCTGGTTTTCTAGTGGTTAGGGAGACACAAACCAAACACCTTGCCCGTAAATACTACTGACGACTCAAGTCCTTTTCACTAGGAGAAAAGCAGCCGTGTAAGTATATCTGGCGGGGGAGGATCATAAGACATTTTAAACCAAGTACAGTGTGGCAGCTCCGCTGAATATGCAGATGAGTTCACGTATCCAGGGCAAGATAGGATTTCCCCCCAAACAAAAATTAAGCTAGATTATTAATTAGTACAAGAAAACATGCCATTCCCAAAAGCAAGAGGAGTGAAGAATAATGATCGTGGCAAACAGCTAAATGTTAGATTAAAACTGGAGCTTTAATGTTTTCGAGGCTGTCACAGTTGCTTTGCGCAGAAAAGGTAACTGCATCAGACAGTAAAGATGATGTTTGGCAGATTTTGTAAGAAAATACTCACTAGGTAAATTGTATTTCCAAGACAAAGCTTGCCAGGTAGGTTTGGTACAATTCCTGCCATTGCCCTCCCAGCATCAAGCCATTAAAATTATTTTACTTCCACTTTCTTTGGAAAGCAATGGCAAGTTAAAGCCCCTGCTGCCTTTGGCACAGAGGGGAGTAACAGGAGGTTTGTAAACTGTGTAGATAACGACACTACACCGCTAGAACAGTAGGCTGGTGAAGCATGAAAAGAAGGGATTTGGGGAAAAATACCTCCCGCAAAGTACGTTTGCACCGTAAACCGCTCTGCCCTGCAAGGTGTTCAGTGACCGGCAAGTATTGCAGGATAAACAAAGGGGCTGGGTGGCTCTAATGCCTCTGGGAAACAAAGGGATACGGCCTTCTAAAACACACCAGGGGAAAAAAGAACCCCATAAACTACCAAGAAATATATTGTATATATACGCTTGTATATATTGTATAAATGCTTGTACAGAAGACAACGCAAAGTTAGGCACCAGGCTGGATTCTCCACAAGGTAGAACCTGATGAAGTGGAGGAGTTCAGTGTCTGATTTCTCTAGCTCTGCCTAAGTTTTGACTTTGAGCTGCCCTGGCTGCAAAAAGGCTTATCTGCCTCCAGCGTAACGCAGCTGGCACTTCTTGCATGCTTTACAGCTCCTTGAACCATTAAATATCTCATATTTGCCAACAGAGAGGCTGTCTTGTTTTAGGATTTTGAGCGTTTCATTCCCCCCGGTTTATGGAATTATGCGTTTTCCAAAAATTCTGTTTGTTCCTAATGTCATTTTCTGTCCTATTCCCTGACTTCTCTTCTTGAAAGACCTTGGGATAAGAAAAAGGCTTGCTCTGAAACTGGTTATCTGCAAATAGAAACACAATCTGGCTGATTTGGGGATGAGGAATAAGGTAAAAACAAAAAGTTCTTCCTCTGCTACAGATGTCAGGCTCTTCTTGGCTTACACATGAAAGGAAGAAAACATCTGCTCCAAGAAAGCTTCCAAAATAACTCTCCCTGCCCAATTTCTCAGACACCCAGCTACTGTTCAATAATATATATATATACACACAAAAACACACGTGTGTGTGTGTGTGTGCAAATATGAAAAAACCCCAATCACAGCAAAAGAATCAACAGTTTGGGAACACAAACAACAAAGCTAATATTTTCTGTTACACATATCACATTTAAGTAATTTTTTTCCCCCACGAGTAATGAAATGATTCCTGTTAGAACTCAAGGGGAGCAGAAGTATTGGAAAAGCTGAATCTACAGCATCTTGTTCAAATAAACAGATACAACCTTGGAAACATCAACGGTCTTAAGCCAATGACAAAGAGCTTAAGAAGTAAGATTTCCAAACATTGACATGTCAATGCGCCTCGGCTCTGATGACACGCTGACACCATCTAGCGATAACAGCCTACTAAACCCTGAGCCTATATTCCTACAAAACTTGAGGGAATCTGCAAAAAAACGCTCTTTCTGGCACCCCAAGGCTGTGAGAAACTGAAGGTACTGTGGCTCCTCCGGGAGCAACACAACTCCGATCCTTTTGGCGTGTTTGCAGGTCCCTCTAGTTTAACTTTTTGCCATTATTTGCAGTTGATAGAGATCTATTAGTCCACATGCCCCGCTGCTTCAGCATGCCTGAATTCTCCTTCAGTACCAGTGAAAAAGGGGAAAAAAGGGAGGAAAAAAAAAGTCCTTGGAGTGGCTTCGCATGAACTGGAGATTCCTGCACATCACATGAGTCCAGCTAAGGCACCAGAAAGGGACAAAAAAGGACCAGACCCTAGCCAACACTTGTGTTTTATAACTCATTTTGCATCTAAACTAGCCAAGAAATAAACACCAGTTCTGATGTCAGGAGGAAGGGGCTCTAAAACAGTCAGACTGACCGAATACGCAGCCAGGGACTTCCCGTCCATTCTTGTTTTGATGAATTGCTTACGGAAAAGCATACGGAATTCTAACACTGAAGTAATTTAGCAGCCCATACCTGGGAAAGCATATTTTTGGTGCCAATGTCTTACTCCAGGGTCTCTTGCTAAATTAATGTGTAGGATCTGCAACCTTATCCCTCCCTAAATCGTAAGTAATTTTATGCAAGTTCATAACTAAGTAATAAACTGCCCAGTCACAGCAGCTAATTACTCCAAGGTCGAGCCAGTAACTAGGAACATGTCTCCAATGTTTATTCTGGCTCCAGATCCAGGGTGCTGTTCAGCAAATTTAATTTTTGAAATTGGCAGCATCCTTTTTAACAGGGACAAGCCTACACCCTGATCTGGACACCGACTGCTGCACTCCCACCTCTTCCACCTCCCCATTCGCAAAATCCGCGTGTCTCCCTGCGCTGCTTTAACAAGGCGCGGCTGCTTTTCTTAAGCTGATGGAGATTGCTTTTTTTCTCAGCTGCCCCCACCGTAACTTCCCGAATTTGCCGTGAGCCCCACTGACCTCTCCGTCTTGGAAATGCTTCTTGAGCTGCTTCAGCATGACGGTGAGCTTCTTGGACTGCACGCCGCTGTAGGCCAGCAGCATGCTGCCGAACTGCCGCTCCGTGATCCGCCCGTCAACTGGGTCGTGCCGCTCAAACTGAAACGGGAAAGGAAAAATATAATTCAAGGGAGATGAAAACAAGACTGGGCAACGTAGAAGGAAATACTCTTGAAGAAGGCGTCCTAATGCATTTCAATATTTGCTTTCTCTGGATTGTCTCCATAAGTTAATGTTTTACCTACATGCTATTGCCTCTGGAAGAAATCATTTCACTCTCCCAGTTTTATCTCGCAGGGGGACAGCATTTGTAGAAGGGGACTTCAAAAGGAGGATCACCTTAAACTGAAACCAAGATAGCAGCCACAGGTCGCCAAAGGGGTGGCACACAAGGAGAAATACTAAGGTGTTCTCCACACACACTTCCAGCTTGGAAGTCTGAATAAGCACCCAGAGAATTTAGTTGCTTCAGTGACCTCTTCTGATTGATCAAAAATCTGTGTGGGACTGAGCTAACACGTGCTAGCGTGAGCATCAAAACCAGCGCTGTAGGAGCGGTTCCATGATTGCCATAAAGGACGATGGTGATTGATCAACCAGGAAAGAAAAGTCTGGTAACAACTGTGTCTCGCTTTACCTCTTCTCTGCTCGAAGCCCTGTACCAGTGTCCCAGCAAGGGAAGGTTCATGAAGGTCTCCACATGTCACCTTCCCCAGTCCCAGAAAGTTCTCCTTGTCCTAAACCCCTTCAAGACCCTTGGGAACATCCCAGCAGCACTAGTTCATGTTCTCCTGGCTTTTGCTGCAGGGCACAAGGGATGGCAATCCCTCAGCTTTGGAAGGCGCTGGGTTGGAGCACCAGCTCTCTGATAGCTGAATAATGCAGATATTGTCTTTTCCTTTTTTCTCCACCTCTTGGTGTCTCTAGAAATACCAATATTAGACTTCAACCAACTTTGGTTTTGCAGTTCCCAGCATTCATTAAACCTTCTTTGATTTCCTCCAAATTTATCAAAAATCTGCTGCTTTTCCCAGCAGGACATTAAAGGATTGCTGCTGCATTTGAAAAGCCTGAGGCTGGAGGGGCTGGGACAGACAATATTGGCAGGAGGCAGCTCCCAGAAGGCAAACTCTGATTCTAGCACCTTGTGCTTTCACTTGAGTGGCCTGCACAGTATTTGGGAAAAAGATGGTGTATTTTACTGTCACCTGATACAGATGGTGGGTTTATCCACGCAGCAAACCATCAGCCTCTCCCATTCTCGTGTGCCAGGGAAAGGAGATGGAAAACTCATTTGGAGGGAAAAGTATGTGCTCTTCATTAAAAAGCAGAGGTAGCACTTTCTGCCAAGTTTGGTGAATGCAAAAAAGTTTTATAACACCCAAGAGACACAAAAAATTCAGTCAGTACTGTTTCAAAAGCAGTAGTGATGCTGTTTCTGTTATTACAGTCCTAATTTCATCCCAGAAGACACAAACCCTTATTTTTCTACCAACCACCTTCAAATATCCCAAGCTTTGGGTAACATCTCTTATTAAAGGATAAGAAGAAACAGGTCTGACTATCTTCAGACAACACTGTAAATGGTGAATATGCTTAGAAAAGCCTTGAGTCAGCATCTGTAAGCCCACCAGCCCTCTCCCCTCGCAGCCACTGTGCAGCTCCACAGGGCACGTGAAAAACGGGCCAACTCCTCAAAGCTTTTTTTGTAACCAGGCATTCAGAGAGCGGCCAGATTTGCACTACCGGATGCAAAAAGAGCAGAAAAGAAAAATTAAAAGAATTTTTCATCTTCGTTTTTCTTCTGACATGTCTCACGCAGCACTTTTTGGTGCCAACTTTAGGATAAGAAAGCAGGATTATTCTCCAAATGCCATACTGAAGCCTTAACAGGAGCATGATGATGAAATGCGTCGTTTCAGCCCAGATTTCCTTTTTCTTTCATGTTTTCAGCCGTGACCTCGAGATGTGCAAGGTGATTGCCCAAGAGGGGCTGCAGAGAGTCTCAGCGAGTCCTTCGGCTGCCCTCGCTTGGGCTTTCCCACATAAAAAAGGATGAAAACACACCTATGGTTTAAGGATTACCCGGGGAAAGTTGGTACCTTAACACTGCTGTAATTTCCAATCAGTGTTTGCAGGCGGGAGAAAGGCAAAACAAGTAAACTTTGGGTTTGGGCCATATGGTCTAGACCAGACACTGGGGAAAATAAAAATCCACAAGCGTTATCACATCAGCTCTCAAAGACACGAGCCAGGGCAGGTGGGGAAAAGCCCCTCCTAAGTCAAACCTTTCTAGAGGGTATGTTAAAAATAACCTCAATATTCAAGTATGAGGATCTCGAAAACTCTGATATTCAAATATATTCACCACTCAACTGAGAAAAGTCATAAGGAAGCTTGGCTTCAAATCATTTGTGAATAGAAAACCCTTGATTTTAGCTCTGAAAAGAAATAAATCTGCCTCTGACACCCCCCTCCCACCTCCCTGTCTGGGAGCAGAGGTACCGCATCTGTGTTCTCCTGCCAACTGAGCACAGCTCACCTGTCCATCTCTACCTGAAAATGAAGGAGGGTGCAAAGCCCACGGTAATTTTTCCTTCAGTACTCAATACACACTCTGTAAACAGTGTTTAGTGTTAAAATCTCCCAGGCATTTGGAAAGGCAGGAGAAATAGCGTCCTCTCCCAGGTAATTGGGATCCTTTGCCTTCATGCATGTGGTGTTACGGTATGAATTATTTTTCCAGTCACTCGGGGGAGGGAAAAAAACCCCAACAACAAACCCCACAAGGATGGAGATGCAGGGCAGAGCACGCTGAGATTTACTACAAGCAAACAAGTCCTCTCCAGACAGAAAGGGAAAAACCCTTTTGTGTCTCTTGGAAGGAAAAGCACGCCCAAGCAATTGCTCAGCCAGCATCACAGGGCACCAGCTGGCATGGAGCGGCTCCCGTGCATGACGCCCATCACCAGGGAAATTGGAGAGGGAACAGGGGTTACTCCCTTCCAAACTGCAGCCCCAAAATCTACACACGCCACGCAGATGGTCGGGGAGTCCAACACCACCGGAGCAGCTTCCACCCGCAGCCACTTGGTGCCAGCAGTGCATTCCGCATCCACACACCGGCAAGGATAGAGCAAATAATGAAATACAACGCTCTCCAGTGTTCCTCTTGCAAGCCAGGTCTCCCGAGACACTAAAGAAATCAGCCTAAAATACAGAAGGCGGCATTGTGAAATTCATTAAAAGCCAACGTGTGTGAGGAAATCAAAAGGTGTTTATGAGAGGGTAAGAAGGCAGGAGAAACGGGGCGCGGCACTTCACTCCCTCGCCGCTGACCCGGCTTCACTAGCCCAGCCCCAGCAGTCAGTCCGTAACTGCATTAGGACCCCTTCCACAATTATTTAAAAGCCTACCTATTACCTTAACCATGTGCTAGGTGCTCCCATACCCGCATCCCCCCAAAAAAACCCCCATCAGAATGAACATCATCTTGTACCTCTACGAGCTGAAATGCGGGTAAGCTTGCCTCTGGCTTAGCTTTCTGTCAGAACGAGTAACCCTACTCTCTCGCCTTCAGAGGGTGGAGGAAAGGCTTTGTTGCACGAGCGGAGGATAAGGCATATAAACAGACAATTTTCTCTCCTTCCACGTCCCCTTAATTGCCTAACTTTATAGAAAGGCAATATAAAGATCCACTATTAATCCCTCTTCCTCCAGGCTTCGCTATTCCCCCCCCGTCACTAACTCAGTCCACCTTCTCCCGCAGGAAATCAAACGCCGGCCTCTGAGAAGCATGGAGCCTGATCCAATTCAGAGATACCACGAGAAACATCTTTCTTGGAAAAAAAAACACCAATGAAACAAAACGAACAAACAAAAAAATCAAACCAAAACCAACGTTGGAACTTCTTAAACACGGATACTGGTTTTGCTTTCACCTTTCCTTCTGGCACCGCCAGCTGCAAGGCTCATTGCGGGGAAAGGAAGCAGCTCTGACGGCCAAGGAGCCATCTGGCATGGGCAGGAGGACCTCCTCTGGGTCCTCCTCGAGCGTGGAGATGGAGCGTTGCAAACGCCGCCGCTGACTCGAACCGTCCCCCTTGCAAATACAGACTTTTCCAATCTGAGAAACAACGGGGGAAACCAGGAAATATCATTTAAACCGAAGGTTTACCAGCACCATGTCTCTGTGAGCCTGGCACGCCGTGTGCCACGGGGTACGGGCTGAACTGAACCTTCCAACTCGGGCTTGGTGCAGCGGGATGTGTCGCTTCGGTCTTTTGGAAAGAAAATATAAGCTGCATCCTCTCCTTCAGAAAAAGGTCAATCGTGAGTATCAGGGGCAGGCTTGTCGTTCCAGCTCACTCTCCTCCCTCCACATTAAATTTATCATAACCGATAGCATTAATACAGGAAATCTCTAGCTAAAATCCCAGTGCTGAAACCCTGTCTCAGAATAAAAAAAAAAAAAGCGCTTAAGAAGCAGGGAGCAGTGCATTGTCACTGCTGCCACCAGACTGAAGAGAGCAAAGCCAGCCCAGCGACTGCCCGAGGAGGGATGCCAGGGCTTCAAAACCCTCACGGAGGGCTTAGCATCACCCGGCGATCACAAGCAAAGGTAAAAACTTCATGCCTGCAAAGTGAGGTACCTTCTCCTTCCCAATCTGGCATCACATTTTTGGTCTGCTGCGCTACAGTCAGCATCTTCAACTTCCCAGGTTTTTATTTTTCCAAATTTTTATTTTTCCTAAACCTATCTTCCGTAAATTTGATGTAGATATTCTTGAACTCCAAACTACAACCAGGCACCCCAGCAATATAGCCTGTATGCTCTTTAAACATTTATATTCCCAAAATATCTAGCTGTATTTTAACAGGCTCTTAAATTTCTAGGGAGGTTTCTCCTAAAAAACAATTAAATAAACTAGGTATTCCCTAAAATCTCAAAACCAAGCATCTAAAAAAGGAAATAAAGGTGTGTGCAGCACACAGAAAGAAAAAAATAATCTACAAGGACTTTGAGATGAAAGGAAAGGCATTGAGGGGTGACTTTTTGAGCTTATTTATGTTGGTTAAACAAACATCAGTAGTAGAAA